CACAAGTATAAATGCTCACAACAGCATAGGCCATGTGCGTAGGCTATGGCGTAGGGTCTGCCGCACAAGCATAAATCCGCCTTGAGTGGACATTTGTGCCAAATTTGAAATTATTCCCTCAAGGTGTTCTTGCAATATTGTGTTCAGGAGAAAAGGACGGACATATGTACGTACAGACGTGCGTACTACATAAACGCATGGTTTTGATGTGTTTGCTAAAAAGACTGATGCTGTCGTACTGCTTGTAAGGACGAAGGTCTCTTTGCAACAAGTCGTCAGACAGACAGGAAGCGGTGAGCGTGAGGCGGTGGGCGACAAACACACATTAAAGGTCATCCTCTGTTTTACAGATTATATAAATCCGAATACGCTAGAGCAATGATTAAAATGCACTTTCACAAACACTTCAGTCACAAAAATCCACACACACACACACACACACATACACACAAGGCTTGAAACTTACCTCGACTGTGGACAGACGTCGGAAAGACGCACAGCACTGGAAAAACAGTCACAGTCAGATCAGAGTGTGCACCGAGTCACACAATTAAATATTCCACTTCAGAAATTCAGTTTTTGTTAAAATGTTTTATAACTTCACAGATCACAATTTAATTATTAAGCACCTTGATTTCCATCAAATTTACCTGTAATTTTACTTTCTTTTCTTTCTGATGACAATAAATCATCTAAAAAAGTATGAACTGATGAAGCCTCTTGGATAAGAGGTGAAACGTCTTCTAAGACAAAACTAAGTCCAGTTGCGTTTGATTCAATTGACTTAAGAAATCATCTTAACTGAAGGTTTCTGTACTCACAGGTGCAGAGCAGAGCCGCCTTCATGATGTCTGCAGGCTGAAGCTTCACTGACCGACTAGCAGTAAATGTGGTGATAACATCCTGTTAACGATGAACCACAGGGGGGGTGGGAGGAGGATGTGAGAACTACACACAGCAGAGTGGAAAACAGCATATATTCTTTCTTCCTCTTTCATGTATTGACGTTTACTTTATGTATGAAAAATAAGACAAGATAAAATAAGATAATCCTTTAGCAGGGAAATTTGCAAAGTTGTATGTTTTCATCTTTCAGCTGTTGTAAAGATCTGTTGCCCTAAAATAGTTTGAGTCATATTTATAGAACAGGTCTTTTTTAGTTACCTTAAGTAATGCCGCCTCCTCAGCAGGCCTTCTGACCTGTGGTGTTCCCCAAGGCTCCATCCTGGGCCCCTTGTTATTCTACATATACATGTTACTGCTTGGTCACTTCATAAACAAACACAAAATGCACTACCATTTCTATGCAAATGTTCACCAAATACAAAAATCCAAAACTATTTTACAGAACTATCAGTCCCCTGTCTGGAAATGTCAAATCTGCAACCAGAAACGTATCAACATGTGAGCAGTGATGCAGGAACATCAGACAATGCTCATATCCAGTTCGTCTTGTCAAACGATCATCTCATGTGCTCATCTCTCAGACCTGAACCACCCTGATGAGCCCTGAAGCTTCCAGTTGGTCTCTTCTGTATTTTTCGGCCTACAAGAGATGTGGAGGGCAGTGAGCTGGTATCAGCGGCAGCCATGTCAGGTCGAGTCGAGTTGAGTCAGGTCAAGTCAAGTGACTCTATGCTAGAGCTTCGTTATTAGAGTTGTTTTAAATGTTGATGGGATCTTGAACGAGCTTTTCTTACTTGTGGAACAGAGCTGGAACACTGAACCAAAACAAAGCTGTCAGAAAATAACAATGATCTCTATATACATGGTTGTTGACGGTCAGTTAGTTAATGGTGATTAGTGAATAAACTTTAATCCTGTCCATGTAGTGTAGTCTTATCTATAAACAGGTTAACTTTTGTGGTGGCTACGTCACGGTAAAAGCTTCCATCATTCTAACCTAACTGTCAAGGTTTATAGCCGGTTCAAACTGGTTTCTGTCCAAGGCTGTGGTTACCTGACATGGCTGCAGTGTGGTCTGAGGTGTGAATAAGACTATTTTTGCCACTGATAGCAGAGGAAACAGGAAACACTTGGTGTTTGTGTGAGATGAAAGTAAAAGCCAATTTCTGCCTTTTGTCTCTTATATTGTGTTCTGACTCGTTTACTCACCTTTCAAAGAATCCTTTAAAATATCACAGCAACTGATTTGTGTTCTGTCTCTGTTTGTCTCACTTGTTGCGGGAGGTGCTCGTACACGTCACACAAGACTGATGAGTTTCTGGGATTGTACAGTCAGAGAGGACTAAACATTTTTTTTTTCCCCCTACTTGTCAGCATTGGTCTTCATAGCTTAGCACCACTAAAGGGTGTAAGCTTCTTGTGAAGATTGATGCACTGTTAATCTTGCAGTCAAGTATTTTTATACCCATAATGCGTGGTTGTGACCGTCACCCACCCTCCCTGGAGACTAGCCTAACAGCCTTTATTGGAAAAACTTCCTAATTTGAGTCAGAGAGGGCCGTGATACACCAAAGTGTGTCAGGGGGAAAGTAAGGAAACAAGCAAGGGGGAGGGGCAGGTGCTTAAGTCCTGAGTTATATAGTGACAGTGCATGCGGAGAAGAAGGAGGAAAAACAAACAAACAAATAAACAAACAAACAAAAAAAAAACAGGGGAGAAACAGGCAGTGTAGCTGATGTATTGTGGCCTTGAGGTGGTTGTGCTCCATGCAGATTATCGAAAATAAACATATACATGTCTACTATACTGTACTGAAAAACAAAACCAAAAGAGAAGTCTATACTGAACACCAAAAATGTGAGAGTCTTGGTGGAGGGGGAAAGCCCAATTGCAGAGAAGAGTTGCCAGCGCGGTGTGGTAGGTTTGAGAAGCAAGTGGGCCCCTTTGGAGTGATCCCATCGGTTCTTTGCGATGCGTCACGGAGCTGAAGTATCGAACATGCATGCATGTATTTGAACCCTCCCAATGTGTTTATGAAAACCATCACCAGGGTCCAGGGCCAGCCCTGC